TTCCACATATATGGGATTATAGGAAGTGAGCTATGACCAGCCCTGGTTTATTAATTTGATCTTCTTTTTTAAAAAAGAATCTTTATTTTCTTCTCTTTCTCTTTTTATCCCATCACACCTCTGGCTTGTCCATTTCAACCTTCTTTGTCTCCGTTGTCATTATCTTGCTCTGCAGCTCCTCGTTTTTGTCTCTGTCACTTAATCATTGTCTTGCTGTCTCTCTCTTCACCCCACTCATGTGGCAAATGTGGTACGCAGCTGTGTTTGGTGTGTGCGTGTGCATGCCTACATGTATATTTCTTTGTCCAAAGTATGGGCACCAGCTGTAGCCAGCAGCTGTGTATAGTGCATTGATTCTGTGTTTGTGTGTACCCATATGCAGGTGTGGGCACATACCCATTTTATGCAGCAGCTGTGTGGTTTTTTTGTGTGTGTTTGGTTATGGACAGCTGTTTAGTAGCAGGTGATGATTTTAGGAGCCAAGCACATAGTTAGTCAGGCAGGTAGCCAAGGGGAGATTGGGGAGAACTAAGCCCAGGAAGAGGTAAGGAGGCCTGGGCTGGGCATTTACTCAATCAGGCCTTCTGGACCTCTGCTGGATGGCTGGTGGTTCCACAGGGCCCCAGCTGTGGGTATCAGACTCTCTACCTGCCAGTCTCTACAGACAGCCTGCTGATTACTACATAAATCAATCAAGGGGAGACAGTTAATTCTTTGAATGTGGTCTATCTAAGATGGAATATAATCCTCCCACACTGTTTTTCAAAATGAGATTAGATAAATCTGTGTACATCAGGATCCCACATGGCGTAGTGAAATGAGAGAACTGAGGCTTATAGATTAATGTACACAAATGAGAACTTGAGAGATGTTAGGCACAAAAAGTGAGACTGTGGAAATACACTTGATATGACCAAAATCTAAGTGTTGGAAGAAGAGTGAGGTAAATAAAGAAGGAGAAGCAAAAGTGGAGTGGTAGGCAACAAAATGTGATCATAGAGAAATGTGATTGGGAGCAAGAGAGACAAAAAGACATGACAAGATGATAATAAGCTCATGAGACAGGAATAAACATAAATAAAAGAGAAGGGAAGATATACAAGGCTACAAAACAGCAGAAACATGTAGCTGTCAGCAAGTTGCTAGACTAACTGCTACCTATAAAGTGGTTTGAAAAGTAAGTGAATGGGACCCATATGGTTTCCTTCTGTCATTCCATCTATATTGACGACCTGTCTAAAACCTCATTAAGGTGTTATGACACCAGCCATACCTCCACTACTAAAACCAGACAGATGGCTATCAGGCTCTATGATGAGAAGCCAGCTGTGCTTGTGACACAGAATGACATAGATGCCATTGCTTTAGATAAAGCAACACATACACACAAAGCTAAGTAGCAAAACAAACGCTGTTTATTTAAAACAACTTTATGCCACAGAGCAGACTTTTTCAATGCCATGCTTGTGATAGCATTGCTAAGCACTGTCTGGTTAAGCGTAAGGAAAACATCTAATAGAAATATTTTTGTGCCGGCTGTAATAGTGCCCTAAAGATCAAATATCAAAGACGTATTTCAAGCTAATTAATGCTTTCAATCTCCACAAATTATTATTTTGTGCTCTAAGAAAGCAAAAATCTTAACCTATGCCAAATTCGAGGAGGAACAGGACACATGAACCAGGCTGGTGCCCTGCTTGTCTGCCAACAGGTTTCACTGTAAACAAGAACAAATGAATCTCAAGGGACGCTGTGGATTTAAGCGACTGAGAATCAGTCACCATTATTATTTCTTTAACTCTAAATAGGGATATTCAACCCTTTCATTATCTGCATAGTATGCCAGCAGGATTGAGGGAAAAGTGCAGAGTGAGTGCACTTGTAAAACCTTTTAAAGCTTTTAACACAGAAACTACATTTTTTACACATTTTTCTATACCTTCCATAGTGGAAATACAAGTGTGTGTGGTTGTCCATCTCTAAGTGTCAGTCCTGTGATAGACTGGCGACCTGTCCAGAGTGTACCCCTGTCCAACGTCAGGCCCCTCCCCTAGCCCATCCCCTTGCCCCTCTTCAAGATAAGCAGTATAGATAACGGATGGATGGATAAACTGAAAATCAGATCTTAAAATCATTTAAAATAGTTAGTAGTTACTATGAAGGACATAGAGATTTTACCCCAACAGGATGGGCCTTCCCTACTCTTACCAGGAACAGTTTTTGCCAGACATCGTGCTAGATGTTGTAAATTGTCCGGGACAGCACCTGACAATACCCAAATCAGTGAAAAGTACATAGATTCGATCTGAAAGAATCCATCAGCAATGCTGTAAGTAAGTAAATATTAAGGACAAAACATTTTTAAACAAACTGAGTAATTGAAAAAAACTCCCTGAAAATGAATTGTCCTTGGTCAAGGTTACACTTCTGAGTCGGGTATTCCAAAGATTTGTCATAAATTACCTCATAAAGATGACATATTTCCTGGTGCTGCATACTGCACAGGGAAACCCAGTATAACGACAAACAGTGGCATTGTGCAGCTGCACCGTTTTGTGATGAGATCATTTGTTGTTAGTTTTAGAAAAGTCTGTCAACAATGTCCGATCTGACAAAAGTGAAATGGAGAAGCACATCTATTCATCCAGTTAGGTTTTTGAAGACCTTTAAAGAGACAATAATTTTATATATATTTTTTTTATTTCTGACTTAACATGGATTGTAAGCTAGACTCAACTCTGCAGATGCACAGTGTTTCTCCTGACAGTATCTTACTGTGTGCATGGCAGTACTGTCCATTGCAAATTCAGAACATACAGTACTGTATCCCCATAATGAATGTAGCCTCCCTGCATTGTTTCCCATTGTACACTTTTACTTACAGTAATTTTATTTACCATAGCTTTATGTTTTAATTATATGCCTGATTGGCACTTAAAATATGAGCTTTTTCATTTTTTTGTTTAAAATTTTCTTCCTTTCCTGCAATTAAAAAAATGCTGTCTGGCAGTCTGTGTTAGTGCTAGCATCATGTCAATATTCAATTTCAGTTATTCTGTGTCACTGCCTGCCTGCCACAATCTGGCATCTACAGTATATATGAGATATTTTTCAGACAGTCAAGGGCAACATGACAGAATCGTTAGGAAAAGGGGTGTTTGTGTATCTCTGTGTGTATGTAGGAAGATAAGTATTGAGCTGTCTAAATGTCATGGGTGTGTAATTAAAGTCAACCTGAGTGCTGTCAATAGGTGATGACTGCTAGTGGGAACAGTGGTTTGCTCTATGTTCAAGAATAATAGGAGACCATAAGGCCTCTCGACAAGTGTGTGCATGCACATTATGTTGCGGAGGTCGGAGGAAGCTTGCTCTGCACTGTTGGATTTGTGACTGATGTGTGTCTGTAGGCATGTGTGTGTGGCTGTGAGTATCCAAACTACCACAATCCAAACCAAACCACTAGAAATAGTAGCAGGTGACACAAATTTTCCTCACCGCCATCCAATTCATTCTTCTTTTCAGCAAGGCCACAGCAGCTTTTAACCTCACACAGAACCCGTGAAGTTGTGGTGTTGTGTACATGTTGTCCTTGCTTCCTTTTTGTCCCACTGTGTCCATAATGAAAAGCTAAATGGCCTGGGTTTAGCACTGATTAGAACTGGACAGCTACCTAGGAAAAAAGAGGAGAAAACAGCGGTCGGGAAATGACAGTTTGAGCTAAATGACAGCTCTGCTATGTTTAGGATAAATGGATTGTGCAGCTATATTCAGCCTTTGCCATCAATTATTCAAAGACCCACTGACAAGACAAATCCCCAGTAACTCAGATTCCTCTGGAGGAGTGGTACTGTAGGTTTCTCAGCAGGTGACATGATTCACCCGTTTCCTTTTTCAGATCCCAGTTTCTGCAACTGAGAGCGATTATATGTTCACCTCAGCAAGGGTGCCTCTGTGAATTAGCTCGACGTTATTAGCAGTTCATTAATGACTAAGAGTGTAATGGCCTCCATAACAAGGAGGCTATTAATCAGATTTTATTGGTGATATGTCAGCCATGTTCCTGTCATTGCTCCTTTCTCTATGGAGAAGGCACTTAATGACAGCTGCAAGCCAAACACTCATTTGCACCATGGAGTATATTAGGGAGTATGTGTGTGTGTGTGTGTGTGTGTGCTGGTCTGCATTTGCATATGGATGATGTGACATGCATTGTACATCCTTTTGTCTCTATACAGGTGCATGCATGCGTGTTCATGGGTGATACTGTAACAAGTCTGACAGTGTGTTCTGATTGCAAATGGGTGAATGGGTCATTTGTTATTTATAATGAGTTAATGTCTGTTACACTGTGGACATGTCAGTTGTGTAATATAATAAGTGGAGCCAGAAATGCTACATTTTGTGTATGTAATTGTGTGTTACATTTTCAGACATTTCTGAGAGTGTTAGAGACAGTACAAGGTGACACAATGGCTTAACCTTTTGTGTCTTCCTTCACCATCATTCAGTTTGTTCTAGCATTTAGAAATGACATGCAAAGTGTCTGGTTTTAGTCTTCTGATTTTTGTGAGCCCCTGAATTTTCTTTTGATTCCACCATGAAGTTATCACTTTTGTTTTTTACTAAAAAGTCCTGACAACTATTTAATTGCCATAAAATATGTTACAGATGACTGTGGTGTCCAGAAAATGCAGCCAATAATTTTGGTTATAATATTTCTCTAGCACTATCAGCAGATCAAAGTTTTCAAATATCTCAGCATATACTAATAGGATCGACACAGATAACGTATTTAACTTATTTAGTATTGTCTGATGGTGAATATGATAAACATACTGTAACTGCTAAACATCAGCATGTTAGCATTGTCATTTCAAGCATGCTTGAATGTTAATGTTGGCATTTAGCTAACATCACATAGCTGCTAATGTAGACTGTTATGTTTTATTTTGTACATACGATGATGTACAGCACGCTTTACTCCTCTCTTCTCCCTGTAGGATTCCCCTCCACCCAACAGTTACAACTTAAGTCAGACATTTGGAAAAACTAATAGTCAGTCTTCCTCAAAACCCCGAAGTGAAGGTGCTAAGAGACGACAGAGCTGCTTCCTCTCTGCTGCACCGCGGGACAGTTTCTTCTTGCGATGTGACCCCAGCATGCCAGGTATGTCACACACAGACAGACGTAGACTGAGCACCATTACTGTCTGTCTGTCTATCTGAACATTTGGGAACTGTACAGCTCCACCCTTTCGCCATCTTGCATTCCAATTAGCTCCATCTCTGTGGGCCCCTAACCTAATATTTACCTCAATTACACTCCCATTGAAAAATGTTGTTTCAAAATTGATGGATTCATGGCTTACTTGGATAATTTATGACCAGCCCCATTTCACCAAGGGAATCAACCCATGAGGCACCCCAAACCGTTTAACCAAAATCCAATTTGCATATAAATAGATTTGGACTGTTTGCTGTAGTGTTTTTTATTTCTTACATACCCATTTATACACGAACACACGCTGGAGCAGATATGGAGACACAAGCACAGGGGACACTTAAGTGCACATACTGTACAGATGTGCATTGAGACACATGCTGACATGGGCAAAATGAAACACTCATATACAGTACAGTCATTTTGCCCATTATTGAATTTGTATGAATAGGTCTACAGTATATGGGACGTTGGGGAACATTATATTCCTCATCATGCTGGGTCCCCCTGTGATCACATTTCTGATAATGGTAAGAGCATTTAAACTCCTCACACACCACACATTTAGCTGCTGGGTCAGACAAACATCTAAAACCATGCTGGACTGGTGATGGCTTTTTTCTCATTGTCCTCATCATACAATAATTCTTAATGCACTGAGTTTAATTCATAACTCAAAGGTCCATTCAACCATTTCAAAATTGACTGTCAAAGTTGTTTGGTGAAAAGTTGGCTGTGTTAAATAAAAAGAGGATTATGACAACAGTGTTGTGTAACAAATAAACCCCAGAGGCTTAGCTTCTTTATTCTGCGAACAGTTTTCATTTTTCAGAATTTGTTTTTACATTTAGTTTTAATTTCATTGCCTCTTTGCTTGTGTGCCACTGGGTCTGCATGTGTTTGAATTTGTGTATATGGATCTCTGTCCGACTTTATATTAACTTTTAGAAAAATGATTTTGCCTAACTGTCATGCAATGCTGATTCAAATAAGAAACGCTTGTGCATTATCTGCCACAGCAACTTTCCTGTAGTGATCTTAGTGCTGCTGATGCAATTAATTTGCCCAGTTTACAGATTTGTGCTTCAGTCAGAATAACTGATCCTACCTCAAAAGATGTAACACTAAAAAAACTTCAATAAATACATGTGGTATCGATTCTGTATTAGACAACAATACACAGTGATAATGTGAAAAACTATACTTTTATAGGATATGTCTACAAACCTGTGTTTTTCTTCAGATATACGTATTTGAAATGGAGTAACTGGTAATATGACCTAACTCGTCCTGTTTTTGTGTGTTTGTGAGGGGACGCCAGTAAAACTACAACTTCCTGAGAGCAACAATACATCAAATGATGTATTTGAAGCCAAGGTGTGGATAATTTGTGTGTGTGTTGTTCATCAGGCCCTGGTCAGTACAATCCCAGTGTGAAATCCTTCCCTCACTTGGCTCTGATCTCCTCTAGAGAAGATCGATTCAAAGTCTCCATGAACACCAGCCCTGGACCTGGCACTTATCAGGTGAACATACTGTTAAAGTTACATCTCACTCTTGTCAAACATTCTTTCCACCACATTTCCATTCTAGGGGACTGCAGCGTTCTCTAACACAAGTGCATGGACAAAACTGTGCCTATGTGTATATGACTAAGAATGAGAGTATGGTGTAATGTGAGCATGCATACACCGACTTTGTTGTGTGTGTGTGTGTGTGTGTGTGTGTGTGTGTGTGCAGAAGAGGCCACAAATATACTGCATGTCTGACATGATACTATCACGTTCCCCTGCCTGACCTTGAGCTATGCGGAAGAAATTGATTGCTTTGCAAAAAAAAAAAAAGCAACCTTCAATAAGTTTCTGTGATTTCAGCCCATATTTGTTTCTTCACCAGTGCAACATGAGGCTGAAAGATGCAGCTTTCAAGGCGGCTTTGCAATCTGTGGGTCTATTTGTTCTTAACTGACTTGGCTGATTACATTAAACTGGGAAAAGTGCATTAAGTGCAATATTCTTTAATTTAATTCAATTCTTTAGTCACCTTAGACTACTGACAGAGACAAATGCAATTTATGGTTGAAGCATAATACAGCTGTTATGAAACCTAAACAGAACCTAATCTCTCTCTGCTCTATTTCAGTGTGTTTCAATAGGAATTACAGCTTTGGGTTAGAGTTTCTGGTGAATGTGTGTGTGAGCTGATTGAGAGAGCCAATGTTGCTTCCGGGCCCTGCTGACTTTGACTGGTGAACATCAAAGACAAAACCACAGAGTCTGATTTAAACCTCACTACAGAGCTCACCGTCATGTTCATGTCCATGTAATGCAATGTGTGTAATGTTATCACAGAGCGCTTTCTTCTCTTCTTCTCCGTTGGCGGTGTGGCAGTGGGTATCACTTTGTAAGTAGTTTACTAAACCTCAGTAACAGAAGGCTGTGCATACTTTTCCCACTTCCATATAAACTCCATCTTCCCAGATGTATGATGTAGCTCATGGATGTTCTTTCATCACCAGTTATCACAGAGTTTTGACTTTCACTATTGGTTCTCCTCACCTCCATATACCTCTCAATCTGTCCCCCTGCTCCATTTCTCTGTGTTGTAAGGGGAAACTTTAGCGGCAGGAATTTTTCCACTGACAGTAGTAAAATTGTTCAAGTATCTTGTATGATACTCCTCTCCTCTCCTAGGATATCTGAATTTTCTTTAAACAGTTGTTTATCTAAGGAATTAAAGGCAAAGTAAAATGAATATCCTCCACTTTAGTCACCCCAGAGAGAGTTAATGTCGGAAGATAGCTGACTCAAAGTAAAAATGGGTTAGTTTAACTTTTTAACAGTGTGAAAACATTAGTGCCTGCTTGTTTTATGAAAATCAGCTAATAATAATAATACCTGAACTGTAGAACAGTAACTAAAGCCTGGTTTCATCTGGCTGACCTCTTTTTGTGGAGTTTGCATGTCCTCCTTGTTCTTGCATGGTCTTCATCTGGGTGCTCCAGTTTGCTCCCATAGTCCAAAACATGGACATTAGATAAACTAGACATTTTAGTTATGAATGGATGTTTGTTTCAGTATGTCCATTGTGAGCTCAAAGACATTCCAGTTATCCTCAACAGAATAAGCCTGTATTCTGTTGTTAGTAGTTGGATGGAAAAAAACATCCTGCAAACCTACAGCACAACTTAGCTGAGCTAGTGAACGTTCTTAAACTACAAATGGCGATTTACTAAGATTTATTAAGATCAAGTTACCCTGATAACATTATGAAGGTAATTTTCTCGAACTTTGAAAAGCCAGACATTCTTGAACTGTTTTTACAGGTTGAGTAGCACTCCTCATGACAAATCAACCAGACCTGATGGGTAAAACTGGACATACTCATCACAGAAACAATGCAAATTTTAATGCTATCTTGTGACACTGAAATGTTAAGCCTCCTTCACAACCAAATCACTTCATATTAGTAGTGCACCATTTAATCAAGCTTGGGTATATGTTCTTTTGGACCTGAAAGTTTTTTTTTTCCCAACCTTTCTGTGACTTTACTAATGCCCTGCTCATGTGGAGTCAATGTAGAGTTCATACATACAGTATGTATAAAGACCCTATACACTAAGAAAGAAATGTGATTCATGCTTTAGAGCCTGTTGCATTATGAGTGAGACATCTCACAGTTCAATTTAGCTTTAGAAGGTTCAGCTCTGTTTTTTTCCAAGTGGAATGCATGTTCAAGCTCTAGTCTCAGTAATTAGCTGTGTGACTGTGAATCCATACGACGCCACAGGCCATACAGAATTAAGGGTGGTGTGAAGTCGTGCAGTGAGGGAGAGAGATAAGAGTGTGGAAGTAAAGCTGGCAAAGTGAGCGGGGTGATACTGATGTGAGAGAGGCAGGGAGGGGTAAGAGAGAACGGTGAGCCGGGAACAGAGGTGAGACAGCGATAAAAAGGTGGTGGAAGAACATGGAGAGGGAGAAGCAGAGAGAGACAGAAGCAAACTGAACATCGTTCAATTCATCAGTTGAAATGTGAGGCCCTGTAATCAGACAGTCACGTAATGGAAAAGTAGCTGTTTTGCCATCAGCGTGTGTTCATGTGTGTCCATCTCTATGTGTGTAATGTCACAAGGCTATGTACCTGAGTGGCATTAGGCCACGGTGAGAGCTCATTTAGTGTTTTCCATTAAATGCATCACCCACTTCTGGAAAGTAGGCATGATTACCTCTGTCATGCACAACACTGTTATTAATTGGTTGCGCTTAATTTAACAGAGAGATGAGGGAACGTGGGAATATAAAAAGACTCAGGGAACAGATATCAAGCAGAAACAAATATTAATTAAATGCTATGATCTTTGCAGATATAAAAACCTGCCAAGTGCGGAACACATACAGAGCCAAGAAACGGAGAAGCTCAAGTTTATTTGGTATTCATTATGAGTCAGAACAGAAGGTGTCCTTAACACAGCTGACATTTCATCAGACCTTCTTCAGGGTGTGGTGTTTATATCCCTACATAAACAGCATGTAAGAGTTTTATACTTTCCTTGGCCAGTGTGTGTTTGGACCCTGAAATTAATTAAAGTGCATAGGAAAGTAAGTAAATGATTAATTGCATGTGTTGGTGTTGTATGGTTAGTATCTGTTACGTCTTTATTCTGAATGTGAATGAAAAATTTCACATTTTTAAACCAACACTTCTCACAAACATGGCCATGATGACTCTTTGGGCTTTTTGTGAACCCCATGGCATGACACAAATCACAGGCATCTGTGGTGCACTTGGATATGAGATGGGATCAGAAAGGAGTTCATTACCATGCATTATACAGCAGGTGACCATGTTAGGGGGTGTGACAGTCACATTAGTTACTTCATCCTTGTTAAACACAGGGCTCTACCTGTGATGATGCACCAATTTAGGAAGCGTTTTCCTCAGAGGAAACTTTTTACTCTATTGTCTGTGATGTATGGACTTTTAAGTTTGAATACAGCAGCTCAACTACCAAGAGGAGATGATGACTTTTTAAATTTTAATTCATATTTATTGGAATAGTGAACAGTGTTATTTACTTTCACAGTGATCCATACAATAACCATATCCAGTTATGTGGCACCGTAGTACCATATAAAAAAAAATAAAAGTAGAATGTGGCTTAGGAGGTAGAGTAGTCATTCCCCAACCAGAAGGTCAGCGGTTTAATTCCCATTCTCCCTAGTCCACATGTTAAAGTGTCCTTGGGCAAGACACTGAACCCTACGTTGCTCCTGATGGCCAGAGTGGCACCCTGCAGGGACAGCGCTGCCATCAGCTTGTGTGTGAGCTGGCACCACAGATGGCTCCCTCGGTCCTGTACCGGAGACAAAATGCTCGTGTGTATAACATACTTGGCCAATAAAAGTGGTAAGCATTATCATTTAAAATGTAGTTTAGATTTTTCATGTTTTTTTTCTGGAATCATTTTAAAAGTTTAATTCAGTTAGATATTACTGTTTTACATTCAAAAATAACTGCTGACAATTTATCAATTGAAATAGTTCCTGTTCAATCTTCATATTACGACAAAAAACACGATCCTGTTGATGAGCCACTGGTAACCTGGGATTTTTAAAATACCAGTCTTCTTTTTCTTGAGAACGTCACTGCAGAACATCCATCACCTGTGTTTGCATGTTTGTGACCTTGTGGTTGTTGTAACATTGCAAAGCTCCTACAGAAGACACTGAATGGCTGTTAGATGTGATTCGCATCGCATCTCCCACCTGCAATCAACACGGATTTCTTGTAACCACGAGTGCAATCTTATCATAACCAAGTAGTCATAGTAGCCTTTATTAAACCTGACCTTACCTATAGGGGTGGCAGATCAAACAGCACCCATATGAAGTGATCATATGTATTGATTTGGAAGGCACTGACAAACAACCTATGTTGTTTTTTACCTATGTGTAGTGATTTCTGTATGTAGTCACGGCTGGCTCAGGCCATGACAAATAACAGAGACACCATTTTAAACATGCAAACATAGTTTTAATTAAAATAAAGAAACTACTTACAACGTAAGGCAAATGATATGAGGGGTGAAAGTCTAAGATCAGTAAATGTGTGAGTGGCTGCATGTTAAGTCTGTTGGAAAGTGTGTGAAAAAATAAAGTATGGCTGAACTGCTTCTCTCTTCTGGACTGAGGGTGAAGGGTTATTTATTAGGTAAGCAGGACCACTGGGCCCAGGTACTCCCTCTCATCCAAATGATGGTCTGCCCACCTCTTACCTGTAACACAGGAGAGGACACAAACAGGTATTGTGTTGGTGTGTATACTATATGCAGCATAGTAAAAGTGCTGCTGCGTGTGTTGTGAATGTGCAACTTGCATGCATCTACAGTACATAGAATTAGCATCCTTTGTTTTTCTGGCATCTGTATGTATTTGTATATATGGGATGAAGCATGTGTTGCTTTTGTGGATGCATCATGTATTCTGTGTGTGTGTGTGTGTTGTGGGAAAGACATCGCATCCAGTGGGCTTTCTTTTGTGCTTATTTTCACACTTTTACACATCTGCATACATAATTGAGTAGCGTCGTCACCAAGCTCCTGCACAGAGCCCCCTTTTTCTCTCTCCCCTCTTTGACCTATAGTGAAACATCCTATAATCACCCTCATCATTGCCATGCCAATGGTGTTATCACTTCCAAAGGCTCTTCTCCATCTCCCTGACCTCATGGGCAACCCTGAGGGTGACCTGGAGTTGAACCCACAACCCTTTTTTCAATTAAGATCAATACAGAGATCTGAGCGGCCCCGCCAATGTGCCTAAATCCTGCTGGCTCCCCTCTGGCATACTGATGTGTGTGTGTATATGTGCATGCGCTGGGAGGTTAGGGATGGGAAGCGAGAGAGAGAGAGAGCCTTATAAGAGCCATATCAGAGGTAGATTTCTCAGGCAGGATCTGTATATTTGTCTGCATGTGTGTGAAGAGGAGCGTATTGTGTTTCTGACATTATTTTTTCAGTGAGGTGATTTTAAGGTCAGACTTTGAAGTGCCTGGAACAGAAAGGTTCATCATTTGTGTGTGTTACCGTGTGCTAGTTACATGTTTGTGGAGTCAGCATTTCTCTTGAAGTAGAGCAGAAGGATTTGAGCCCCACTGCTCGTTTGTTGCGTGGGTCGTCGTTTAATTTTCTGGACCACCTGTTGTGAGCGATAACGTCTGTGTTTCTGTGGCTTGTCCATTTCTTGGAAGACACATGAGGCTGTTGGACTTAATAAGAAGGATCATGCATTATCAAGTTGATACAGTTGAAGACCAACAACAATAGATGGTTATTGGTAAAAAATGCCAAGATCTGTTGATTACTCCTGTTTTAAAGTCAAGGCACAACCACTGTCATCTCCAGTCACTCGTGAATTTGTCGATTCATTCATTTGTGTTTGTTTCCTTGTAAGTCTTCATTACCATAGAGTTTGTCCTTCATAACAACAAAGTCTGTTTATACCTTTTTGCAACTATAAATGAATCCTTTGGCAAATCCGACACTTTACATTTGTGCTTTTATGTAAATTTGTACACATACATAAATTATTCTTTTCTGCTCTGTGTGAAATATGTAGATATACGGTACAAACAAATATACTGTAGTTCTCTTATTTTATTTCTCTCAACATTTAATCTCATCCTGTTCTGTTTGTGTCTCTGCAGTTCAGTCCAGGTATCATGAACACAGTACTGAAGGGCACCTTCAATGTGACACTCAACAACCCTCTGGGTTCCAAGTGTTCCCCCCACATGGCCCCTGGCAATTTAGCGGCCCACAAGGCCATTAATGCTGTTGTACCCACCTCCTTCATTGCCACCAGTACTTCTTAGAGCTCTTTGTGGGTCACGGTTTGAAGGAGAAAGGTGAGCGGGGTAAAAGGTCAATTTTGAGGTCATCACATTTCAGTTCATACTCTTGGAAAAGCAGATTTTTTATGGATATTTAAGGTTTTATACATTTCTCTTAAATGTATAAGTGACTTATTTGCAATTACTAAATTGTGACTTTACTAAGCTCATTAATTTAGTAAACAGAAATGTGCTGAGGTCTGGATATAACACTAGTAATAAAGCTTGAGGAGGTTTTCTAAACAGGCTGATTTTCAATTAATTGTGATATCAACAATCATCACTGAAGCAAGTCTTTTTCTCTTGGCATTAATTCTGCTTCTTTCCACTTTTTTAATGGTCTTTTAAGCAGTTGGTCCAATCTCTGGTTGTTTTCCTGTTTGTGTTTGTGTGTGTGTGTGTGTTTCTCAGTCCAAAATTAGCTATCTAATAACAACACACAGTAGATCCTGAGAGCTGTTGTTTTGGCAATAGTCTTTAGTTTTTCAAGTGTTAGAAATTGCTCTCATAGTTAATTTACAAATTAGAGCAGCTAATAACTTGTGACTGTGTAAACCTAAAATTTATTGGAGCAAAATGGTGGCTCATTAAATTTATTTTTCATTTTTTGTTGCTGTTGTGTCTTGCAGCAGTTTGGAGGAAGCTTTTTATTCAGTGTCGCAAAGTAAAATCCATACAACGGACCCTGCACCTGCAGCTGATGGTTCCCACATTCTTTACTTTGTCTAATGACAAGCGTGACACTCTGATTCAGCTGTTTTTGTAGATCAGTTCCTTCTGTATAAACCACTTTGTTAATCAATAACAATTAAAAAGCTATTAATATGAATATTGCTTGAAGTCTTTTGAAAGCTTGTTATTCTTAGAAAGGACATCTCGCCCAAAAGGCACTTTCGTATGCTGTAGGACTAATCAATACATCCAGTCTGACATAAATGATGACGAAAAACAACGATGGGAAGGTTTTGCTATATACAGCAGATTTTGTGTACTGCTCATATTGGTTAATGACTGGAAAGCTGGCTAAGTGGTTGCATGGTGGCTTAAGCTTGATTTGAACGCAGTGTGTGCCATAACTTCCTGAGGCCAGGACTGTCAGAAATCATGTTTTATTTAATGACAATGAACCAGCGCATTATACAATTAGATAAAATGCTATTATATTTCCTAAAGATTCTTAACCATACATTATTGCTTAGCGTGCATAAATCATGAAGTCGTTCATTATGTATATTGGTGCTGACTACCAGAGAAGCAGGTGTGAAAGTCATATAGAAGACTCATGTTTTGTCACTAACATGCTTTGCTCATTAATCAAACTGGCCTCATCTTTTGTTTCAAACACACACACACAGTTCTATCTTTGCGAGGACACTCATTGACATGCATTCCCTAGCCCCTTACCCTAATACTTAAGCATCAGAACTAAATGCCTAACCCTAACACTAAACCTAATTGTAAACTGAACCCTACAAACAATTGTGGACCCTCAAAAAGGTATTTCAGAAAACAAGGACTGACCAAAATGTCCTCACTTTTCAAATTGTCTTCTCTCTATAGCAAAAAAAATACCTTTTTGATCCTTGCTATGTAGCAAGTACAAGAGCACAGACACACATATACAGGCTACAACATACATTCATCCAAACCAAAAGAAACAACTGCATGTAAAAGTACAATCTGCTCTTGACTCAAGAGCATCACAGCCTTTGAGTTTGATGTGCGACCAAATGTATGCTCTGATGCTTTGAATCATCTATAACACAAGAGAGGCTGGCACGTCAAGAAGAGGGTTAAGAGAAACCTTGTGCAGACCAGTGACTGAAGAAGCTGCCTTAAAGGAATAGTTCAACATTTTGGCAACTGTGCCTTTTTCCTTTCTTTGTCAACAGTTAGAAGAAAAGTTCAATGCCACTCCCATGTGCGAAAGTTGTCATCTCACTCTCAGCAAGAAACATTTAAAAATTATTGCTCAAATTCTTTATTTATGTTAGTAACCTCAACTGAGTGAGCTATCATACTATAGAACAGCTAAGATTAAACACCTACTTTCATCTAGTTTTCAAGGCAGTTTTTTTATTTTTATTTTTTTTATTAAACCAACAATGTTGTTACAATATATGTAGCCAAGCTTGCAAAGTAGGTAAAGTTGCAGGTAAGAAAGTATATGTGGAAAGAGTTGAAAGGTGAATTGAAATGAGTTCCTGACCTTGTATATGTGCTACCAGAGAGACAGATGGTTGGCTGTGATGAGGTGATCCAAAGTGTTAGATAAACCACTTTTACTGATCATTACCACTAGAATCTGGTAGATTTATGCTCTTTTTCTCTGCTGATCACTTAACATAACTCAGCCATTCATGGCTTTGTATGAATGTGTGTGTGTTGTCAGTCCTTAAAGTCAAAGAAGGCGAGCAACAAGTGTTTAAGCATCGTGATGTACAGGTGATGCTGTTTGGATGGCGTTCAGTTATATCTGTTCTGAAATCATCTTTGTAACTTCCTTTGTAGGTTCAGGGTCTTTCTGAATGTTTAGCAGAGTACCATGTTTCTGAATGTTCCTGTGGGCCTTTTAGCCTAATGAGGTGTTTACCCCCTCTCATTATTCAGCTGGGAGCAGGGCAGAGGGAGCCAGAGGGGGAGAGAAGGACGGGGAGGGTGGAACAGAATAGAAAAAAGGTAGTTAGATATACAGCAAAGTGGATACAGAAAAAAAGTAAAGAGAAATGGTTAGTGAAAGATGGAGAAAAAGGGATTGTATATGGGCAGAGTAAAGATCGGAGAGCTGAACGAAAATGAGAGGCAGGGAGGAAGGGGAAAGAGGCTGATGTTATTTATGCCTCCCTCGGCACTCGTCTTTACCTTTTTTCTTCCCTGCGAGCTGTTTTACATCAGCGATCTAATTAAATCAAATAAATCACAGTGCAGATACACCCACCCACACACACACACACAAATATGCACACACAGCCACAACAGCCCTCTCCTGATTCTGGGATTGTGAACATCTCCTCCCCCTACCCCCTCCGCCTAAGATTGAATAAATCTCGATTATGGTGCATTACAGGGCACATCATTCATGTTGTTTATAGGTCTAAAATATGCAAACAGACCAGGGGCATAAAAGTGATCAATGCTCAAATTGGCCCCTTTTCTGTTCTGTTCTCATCGCTCACCCAGCTTCAAGCACTGTCACTTACAGATGTCTTATGTGGGATGGAGACATATTGCGCTGTGTCCCTATCTTGTACCCTCATGATGGCGATTTATATTGTCTTTGAGCCCAAGTGTCCAACAGGCATCTTTATTACCTGATTTAATAAAGCACTCTGTTTTTGTTCTCTGCTTTTGCTGTTGAGCCATTATTTAATCTAATTAGCTCTGCTGCACCTTGAAGCTGAGAGGTCCCTTGATAATTGTAAAATAGAGATAATTTGATCAGTGTTTTTTTTACTAGTGGGACTTTAATACATGAAACACATGATTGTGTGTAAAACCACACGTGTTAAAACCACTGATATATATACTATGGACATGACGTCCTCACTTACCTCCACTATGCAAAAATGAAGCCAAGATATTATGAATATGTCGAACGCCATCTTGCGTTTTTGCAACCAGATTCTGTGCAGTAGCGACCATGAGTGAAGTGACAGCATAGGACCGCCAGTCAAATCAACCAAAATACTCTGTGTCTTTATGTAATAAAACTTATTAAAGACAAACTTGCCAGAAAAATGACCATTTATACACACATCAGTGTGGTACTATTTACCAAAAACCACAGATGTGACATCTGAGAAAAATTTGATTTGTATTTTGCATTTTTACTTTGGCTCATGTCCCATCTGTTAACATGGAGGAAACGGGATTTATGACCTATACTGCAACTCACCGTGGCTTCACTTCTGGGAGCTGTCATGACATCCATATTTTCTAAAGTTGCTGGTTAAAACGTAGGATTCATGAAGCTGATCATGGACTTCAGGAGGAGAGGAGAGTGGCTAGACCCTGGTCACCATCACCAGGTCCCCTGTGGACAGTGTCAGCAAATGCAATTTCCTCACATCACAGAGGACCTCACCTGGGGTGTGCACACTGACCATGTGGTGAAAAAGGCAGGGCAACATCTGAAAAAAATTTGGCATGGGGCCTGAGATCTTGTGTACCTGCTGCAGAGCTACAACGAAGAGAATATTGACTGGATGTATCACAGCATGGTATGAAACCGCACTGCCCTCCACTGAAAAGCACTGCAGAGGGTTGTGCGCACGGCCCAGCACATCAGTGGATGTGAGCTTCACTCCATCCAGGATTTGTACAACAGTCGGGATGTCAATAAAACCCACAGGATCATTAAAGACTCCAGCCACCCCAATCACAGACTGTTCCAGGTGCTGCTGTGTAGTAAGCGATATCGAAGCCTCAAGGCTTGGACCTGCAGGCTCAGGGAGAGTTGTTTCCACCAGGCAACCAGGCTTATCAATAATGGCCATAAATGAGACACACATACTCTAGCCTACACATGCACTCTGATATAGCTGTGTATACATGAACACACACTTTACAATATTTATATAGTACATTATTATTTTTATTTAAACCGTTTGTAATCTTTAGTATTATTTTATTATTGCTGCAATCATAAAGTGCCAAAACCTAAGAATTTTACTCTTATACTTGTATAAAGGAATTTAACAAAAATGAAACTGAATCTGAAACATGCAAACAACTAGTAACTATAAAGCTGCATTTTGTTTCAAAGAAACACCTGCATATGTTGTCCAAATATTGTATGTCATTAGTACATGTATAATCTTTGGCCCAACTAAGCATTAATTTAATATTCATATTGTTTTATTATGGCACAACATTTTAAGAGTTCAAAAAAGCAAAACTATTGCATACAAATTTCCATGTAAGTCTGTGATTTATTACAAATTATCTAATGATTTTTTCATTTTAAATACATGTTTTTTGATGTCTTACTTTTTACTTGTGATAGGTTAAGGGTTTCTTTTCTTGTAAGAAACTTGAAGTCAAGCAATGTTAACATACTTTAAATATGGTATTTGATATTTGCTCCTTGTCATCCACCCTGATCTCTGTGGGTTTAAACAGGTGATGGTTTGCTGAGAATATAGTATATTATCGGCACCAGTGGACGCTTTGATGCTTTTATCCACCATGATCGAGCCCATTCACTGAAGTTTTTTTTTTCTTTCTTAAAAGTTCAACTCACCAGAGGTCAAACTAGATTTATCAATCTTCTGCCGAGCTTATAAATGATTTTGTCAATACATGTAAATATAAAGCTAAATTTAGTCACAATCATCTTGAGCTGACAGCTCCATGCTTGCAGATACAGCTTGGTGGAAAGCCAGATTAGTCAGTGTCTTTAATTAAAGGTGATGTACAGTAGTGCAGAAGAATCAATGTGGAGGGCAGCAAGTGCTGACAAGGCCAGAACAGACAGAGAGGCTTAATTTAGATACAGTGAGAAGAATGAGACAGGGGTACAGTGCAGTGGTGACTCCTCCCTACATCTAGCCACCTTTAGGCCTGGAGCTACTTATTTTACTAAATGTAGTGCACAAGCACATAATGGGTACTTGTCAACTGGGATGAGATTTACCAGTTACTCAAGAGAGTAAAGCTTTACCCATATGTGCATGTTTGTTGTATATTGTCTTGTTTGTTAAGATGCAGGATGACTATTTATCTATGGCTATGAGACACAGACCATGTAAATGTGATGTCCTGGTTTGATTAAGGTTAAGGA